ATGGCTCCTTCCTGGCCCTGTCTGCTACACCTGGTCTCTCACTAGGTGACTCTACCTCTTAAATATGGGTCTTACCTGTTCCCCTTACCCCAGCCTCACGACCACTTCCCTGGTGCAGGCCTCCACCAGCCACCCCTCACTTGCACCCATCTCACCCCTTCCAGTGGATTCTCTGCTCGGCAGCCAATTGGACCAGACCAGTTGCTGCCTGGCCTATGCCCTTCTGGCTCTACCCTGTCCCAGGAGGACACCCACTCGATCCTCTTTTCGAGGAAGCCCTGCTTTCACTCCCCAGCAGCCTCACCTCCCACGGTGCCCCCCAGTCTGCAGGCCAGTCCCCTGAGCTTACTGCATGCAGTACTGGGGTGAACGCTCCCGGCTCATCCGCACCTCCACGCCCTGTCTGAAGCTCCTTCCCTCCTCCTGCCCGCAGACTCACTCCTGCTTCAGCCAGACAGTTCCTAATTACACTTTGTGCCTGATGAGAGCCCACTTCCTTCAGGAGCCACATCACCCCATGGTTCCACTGCTGGGGTACTAACCGCACAGTGGGGAAGGAGGTTGTGACTGCCTGCTCTGTGCCTGGTCCCTCCTCCAGCGCCTCCCATGTCTGCCGTGGGGCCTGGCATGGTGCCTGCAGCGTACTAAGCACTGCTTGGTTGCAAGGATAATGGGTTTATCTTCATTTTACGTCTGCGGAGCCTGAAATGCAGAAACTAATTAGTTTGCCTGGACTCAGGATTTAAGGCTGGGTCCACAAAACACAATTTTTCCAATCCAGCTGCTATGCACAGAGCTTGGGAAGAGAATAGAAGTGTCCTGAGGGCTTCTGCGTGAATTCACCTGTCTGCATCAGCCTTGTTTGGTTTATCATCTTTTAGGCTTGCTGCATCTCAGCGACTGGTGGCCATTAATTAATTACTCTGTCTAAAAGGTTGAATGTCTATAATGGCCCAGTGTTTTTCTGTTCTCTCTCCCTGGGTTGTAAGTGAGTAAGATAAGGTATTAGAGGCTATCATGTGGTTTGAGGTACAGCAGTTGTGTGTGGGGGTGGCCTGGTCCCTTTGGTAATAATGTGCACTTAGCATAATGCCCCAATCTTGATTTTTCCAGCAGTTTACAATCCTGAAGTCATCTTCATCACAGCCAAGTGTGAAAGAGAGAGAGCAGGGCCTTCCTCATTCTATGGGGAAGTGGAGTCTCCAGGACACAGTAGTTGAGGTTTCTAGAGATTTCCTGCCCAGCTCCAGGTGGAGCTTCTCTGATGTATGGGAGGTTTCTTTCCTGTCCAAATGGAGACTGTACGTTGGTGCCGAGAACCCAGTGGGTGTCTGCTTTGGTTTCCAAAAGCCAGTCTCTGGGCAGCTCTCACAGGGGACTGAGCAGGAAGGCTGCCTGTTCATTGACAATCAAGCCCCCTGAAGTGCCTTCTGTATGCTGGGCCCTGGCAGGCCCGGGAGGGAGAGGGAAGATGGCCAGGCCTTCGGGTTGAGGGTTGGGCAATGCCACGCTGCTTCTCATTCGCCTGTGTCAGCCCAGCGCCTTTGGGTCATCGCTTGAGTGGTCCAGTCCCGCTGTGGATAGAGGATGACAGTAACAACACGGACCAGTTAGAGCATCTTTAGTTGCAAAGAACATTTAATGTGTCACATGAAAAAGCATCCTGAGTAGGGCGAGTCCCAGCGAAGCCAGCGGTTCATGGCGATGGTTGGTTCAGCAGCTCCACTTGCTGCTCTTCCCTGCAGCCACAGTTCTCTTGGTCCCCAAGTGGTGGCTGCATTGCAGACAAGGTCCACAGGCAGAAAAGTGGTCTCTTCCTTGTACTTCTTTTTAAGAGAGAGAAAAATCTGGGCAGCCCCAACAGACTCTGGTCTCAATGGCCAGAATAGCCCCCCAATCCCTGATAAGAACAATGGAGTGTCCAGGACTGGCCGACAGACCAGTCACAGCTCATCTCCCCTCCCCCCTGCCAGTACAATGTCCCCAAACACCTGAACAAAACTAGGATGGCGGCCATGGTGCCCCCACGTGGTGCAGAAGGGCGTGCCGCTCCCGCCTCCCCCGGCTGTCAGGATCCTGCAGACCGCAAAAGCGCGACAGGAGCGGATGAACTGGACCAGGGCATCTGCGTTCCTGGATTTTAGGAGGCGGTTACTGAAATTAAACTCTAGTCACCAGCTAGGGCAAGGTAATTTGCCACTTCTGTAGACTGGAGGAAGTTGGTTATCAAAAGAGAAGCAGACTTTCGTGCTTAATGAATTGTTAGAAGGGCAAAGCCATGTCCATAAGCCTAATTTTTCTACTCTAGGGCTGGTCTGTGAATGCACATTTGCTTTCCTTTTAACTACAGCTTTAGCCAATAAATCAAAACGCTTTGGGAGACATACCTGAATTACTAAAGCCTTCGTCATCAATATATATCTCCATTTCTGTGGGTTAGTAATACTTGCTTAATGTTCTTGCAGTAGCAGCCTGGCCACCATCTTTTGGCTCTTTTAAATGCCTCCATCTGTGCTCCTAGGGAGATGTTGAAGCCAACTCTGGCAACATTGCTTGGCTTCTTCAGGGTGCATTTGCCCCTTTGCCTCTTGCTGTTGGTTTTTAGAACAGTGTAATGAGCACAGCACTAGTCTAAGAGTCAGAAGACGTCTGTCCTGATTTTGGCTCTGCCACTAATGTGCCATGTGGTCAGAAAAGTCTGTAACCTCCATGGGGTACATTCTCCCATTAATGAGCAGAGACATTGGATTGGATCTGGGTGATCAGGACCATTCCCCTCCCATGCCCATGCAGACATCGCCAATTAATCACAGCATTCTTGCTCCTTACTGCCCCCAGCCTAGACTCAGAATTCCCTCCAGAAAGGCAGCAATCACTGATGGAGTGATCAGAGGTGATACTCAAGAGGCAACTGGTTTTCCACTCCAGAGCTAGATAATCTCCTGGGTCCCTTCCAGTTTTATAATTTCTCTGTAGCAGAATCAAGAAAAGCTCCTACTGTGTCATGACATACTCTAGTATTTGGGGAGCCTAGTTTTGGAGAACTCCCTCAGAAACTCTTCCTCTAGGACATGTCATTATCAAGTGTTAGTACATGAGAAGATCCTGCCAACAGTAACCACCTTGGTCTTGTTGACTGGGAATCTAGCATCTGGCCCAGTGCCTGGAGCACAGCAGGACTCAGCTATTTGTGGAGATGAATGAATGAGAGTTAAGGTGTGTGGTCTGCATGAGAAAGCGTGCCCTCCCCGTCTCTACAGCAGGGATCCGGGACTGCCATTATGCTTTGGGAAAGAAAGCTGCTTCCCTCCTGGATATTGTCAGAGTTTTAAAAGTCTTCTCTGGGTGTCTACTTTGTGAGTTTGCATTTTGGCTTTTGAAAGCCTTAGATGTAGAGGACATGGAAATTAAGGATTCTGCCTGGGGGAGGAGGCCTCTTCTTTCGGGCTGGGCTTGGGGGGCTGATGGAGGCCTCAGGAGCTGGACCCTCTGTTCCTGCTCTGGCCTGGTCCCCAGAAGGACCATGGTCTGAGCCACACTTCCCTCAGCCCTCACTGCCTGCTGCTTCCCAGCGGCTCCTGCCTGGTCTCCTCTCCTGCCAACTCCTGTCCTGTGTCCATGAAGCCGTTTTCCTAATTGCTTCGAGGGTTTACTCCCTGACTGAGGGCTCACCTCATGAGGCATCCTGAAAATTGTGGTCATGTTTTTAACCAGGCTGGAGGGGGATCTTGCCTGGGCTTCTCTGCCAACAGGGGAAGGAAAGAAACACGGACACCTGCCATGTGCTGGGTACAGTATGGGTCACGCAAGACCTCGCTGAACAGAGTCCTCACAGCACATTCTCATTTTGCAGATGTGGAAAATGAGGCAAGGGATTGGAGGTAGGGACTCAGCTAGTGGGAGATAAAGCTGGGAACAACTCCAGGTGTTTGCATTACACAGACCCGCCAGGTCTGCAGGATGAAGGACGATCTCACAGCAGAGTGGGGCGAGGAAGGGGAGCTCCTCTGCCCCACGTCGTGTGTGCTCCGCTTCACTTGCCCCCAGACGTGTTCTTCTGGGTCTGGCCCTTTACAGATGCTTACACCTCGCAGTTCTGGGTGCTCCTGTTCTTGCTGTCATATTGCCGTCCCATATTGTCCCTATTGTCATATGGCCTGTTGGAGGCTGCCCTTAGACGTACATGTGAGGCGGATGCAGAACATCAGGCTGCTTATTTTCTGCCCTTAAGGCTCTATGTGATAAATTATTCATTTATCCACCAATGGGGTGGATAGCACAGGGCTAGGCACCAATAAGAGGAGCGAGGTACTCTGTCCTTCAGGAGCTTACAGTCTGTCCAGGTTTTTTTTTAAAAGAAAAAAATTTGAATAGGTAATATATTTACAGGTTTAAAGATCAAAAGGTCAAGAGAGAAAAGGTGAAAAGTCTCTCCTGGCCATCTAGTTCCCCACCCAAGAGGCAACCACTGTTAATAGTTTCTTGTGTCTCCTTCCATGTCATTCTGGGGTGCTTACCAGGGCGCAGGAGAGATCAGGCAAATCAGGGCAACTAGGGAAGAATTGTCTAAGGGCACATGGCTGCAGCCATCGGGAGGTGGACATGGGCTCAGGGAGGACAGGCAGGCACGGATATTCTGAAAAAGATTTCCGGAGGATTTGGGAACCCCCCTTCCCCACCTCCAGCCTCTAGCCACTGGTCTAGCTAGACAGGTAAGACATTTACATGTAGAAAATGGTCACAGCAACGCAAGAGTTAATAGAGATGGAGCTGGAATTCCTACTGCAGCCAGAGGGCGCCCTCAGCAGAGGAGGGAGACAGCCTGTGGGGCTGCTGGGGCCGAGGGGGCGCTGTGCAGTCCACCCCAGGCTTCTGAGCTGTGTTGCTTTGGTTACTGACTTCAGCCTCTCTGAGCCTCTTGTTTCTGCATCTCTGAAGCCCCTGATCCAGAATTTTAAATGTTTGTGTTTCGTGAACCCTTTTAGCAGCCTGAAGAAACCCATGGACCACTTTAAATGCATACAATAAAATATGTAAGATTATAAAGTATTCTCAAGTGTGGTATATGCTGAAAAAAAGATTATGAAGTAAACAAATTACATTGAAATACGGCTGGTTTTCCCACTTGGTGGGCCCAGGGGAGCCCTGTCGCCTGGTGATTCCTGCTCTGAGGAGGGCCAGAGCCAGGGTCCAGCTTCCTGGAGCTGTTCTGGGTCTGCACCTGAGGACACTGTCCCCAGGGAGCCCCGGCCCTCCTCGGAGGCTGTTTGAAGCCTGGCTAGGGGAGGAAATGGGGAAGAATTCCCTCCGGAGATTGCTTTGCAAAGAGTCAAATGAACAATCTATTTTCCCCAGTAATTGGCTTTTCGTCTGTGTCCATGAGGTCTCCTCTGACTGATGATCCGATTTGTCCAACATTCAGTTTCCAAAAGGTGGCAGCACTGTCCTGGGAAACAGAATCCCAGTGGAAGTGCCCAGTCCTCATGACAGCCTGTGAGATTGCTGGGGTGGATGCCTCCTGCCTGTCCTGCAGCCCTGGCTTCATAGGCTGGTGGAGGCTTTCCCATTCTCCCTCTGTGAGTTATGTCCGTATGACTCTCTTCTCACCAGTCACCTGAATCTTAGCCTCGGAGATGGGCCCTGTTCCTGGGCAAGCTTCTGTTCCCTGTCCTACAGTGGGGCTGCCCTGCAGTGACCTTCTGAGGGCAGTGACACGTTGAAGGTGCTTGGCTGGGCTCAGCAAGCATCTCAGGACTGTTCTGTCATCAGATGCAGAAGGAAGTTACATGCATGTGATAGACTGTTCCCCCCTTTTGGTGTTTGGGGTGTCAGTTCTGGAGGGAGGTAGACATTTTAGGCAATGGAGTTTTGGGTGGTCTAGGCTGAGATTTTTCCTTTTCAAATGATTTAACATTGGCTAAGAGCAGCCTCAAGTATTTTAGTGGATTCTGTTTAAGGCACATAGCAGTGAAGTGATTTCCAATCTGGCTGAGTCACATCAGACTCTTAAAAGCAGCCTTCAGTGGTTCCTCTGCCGTTAGTTACAGGGTTGTAGCTGGGAGGGCCACTTCTGTTGTGTGTCTACAAATGGGGACGGCCAATACCTTACCAATAATTGAGGAAATCGATTTTCAAGAATCTGCTAGAAGATGGAATTTTGCACAATAGAAGGAAGAGAACGTTAGAAAGGGCTGGCTTGGATGTACGTTCTGGCCAGTGGATACAGTGGCTTTTGTCTTTTGACCAGAACACGATCTCTTAGGAAGGTGCGCCTCTACATACCATGCTTCAGACCAGACTGCTGCCCCTCCATTCCCTCCGTCTTCCATGTTTTCTCTCTTTCACACACGGATGCACACATGCACATTTACACATGCATTAAAGCCAATACAAAGAGGAAAAAAAAACCCCACAAATTTTACTTATTCATTTATTCCAAAAATATTTATTGCGTCCTTCCTGTGCACTAGGCACTAATCCTGGCCCTGAGACACTCACAAGCAAGATGGCACAGTCCCTACTTCTGTGAAGTTTATATTCTAGGTGGAGGAGGCAGACAATGAACAAATAAAGGAACGAGCTAGAGAAATATCGTGTGGAAGGGCCAGCATGGCTCACTAGGGAGAGTGCGGTGCTGATAACACCAAGGCCACAGGTTCGGATCCCTATATAGGGATGGCCGGTTAGCTCACTTGGGAGAGCGTCGTGCTGACAACACCAAGTCAAGGGTTAAGATCCCCTTACTGGTCATCTTTAAAAAAAAAAAAAAGGTAGAAAAATATTGTGTGGAAATATGCTGTCTGGAGGAGTGGCCTGAGGACATGACAGTGTGAAGGGGCTGCTGCTCTGCACAGAGTGGGCAGGGAATGCAGCAGGCCGTGCCTGACTCACCTCAGTTTCCCCATATAAAGTGACATAAAGTCCCTTCTAAGAGATTGAACGTCTTTCCCAGTCAGGTTAAGAAGTTCTTTTCTAGTTCAGATCTAATTTCTTCCTCCCCACCGTACTTTAAGCCTGCTCCTCTCCTCTGTGAGAAGCAAGCCGGCCACCATTTCCCCATAGTGATCCTGCATTCCCTGGGCCATGGCTGTGACGTCTGTGGTACCGCAGCACTGATTAAATAACAAAGCAGAGTTCCCTGGGTCCAAGGCAGGGGGTGGACTGCAACCCCCTCCTGGCTGGTTTCCTTTTCTTCCTCCTTGACAACCAGCACTGCTGTTACACCGAGAGCCCCATCCCCTCTGGCATCCAGCCTGTCCCCCGGAGGCCTGGCAGCTCTGAGGTGGCCTCGGGAGAGTTTGGTGTATGCCTTTCCGGGTGACTTGTTCCCTCCCCTCACCAGGAAATCAAGGAAGCTGGTTGTCACCTGCTCACTCCTCAGCTGCCAGCTGTGGAAGGGGAGAAGCTTGGCCAGTGTCAGTGTCCCCTGAGGCTCTAGGCCACTCACTGCCATTTTTCTTTTTCAGAACAATAAACCTGAAAAACCCGGTGCTTCAGCAGGTGCTGGAGAGGAGGAGTGACGTCCTGTGCATCCTGACACAGAAGATCGTGACAACGCAGAAGTGTGTGATATCCGAGCACATGCAGGTGGAGGAGAGGTGCGGGGGCATGCTGGGCGTCCAGACCAAGACGGTGCAGGTGTGTGCGTCCAGGGGTGGGCGGGGTCAAGGCCACGCAGCCGCTCCACTCCCGGTCGTGGAGACCTCGGTCAGGGGCCTCTTTGGGTGGTGTCTTTATTAGTCAGGACTCTTTCTATAGCGAGTTAACAGAAATCCAACTCAAACTGGCTTAAGTGAACAAGAATTTATTGGCTCGTGTAACTGAGACGTTTGGGGCAGTTTGGCTTCAGTCATGGCTGGATCCAGGACCCCAGGATGTTGTGAGCTGCCGTCCCTTGCAGGGTGGTTCCCTCTCAAATAGGCTCTCCCCTGTGGTGCTGGCAGCTCCAGGCTTTCATCCGGTTTGCTGCAGCCCCAGAGGGGAGAGTGCTCCAGGGCTGGCTCTCACCAGACCTACCGGGGTCGTGTCCATTCCTGAAGCAGACCCAAGGCCAGGGCCTGACACTTTCCCCTGGGGGAGGGGGATGCTTCCCCAGAGGAAAATGGGTTAAATGGGCACTGGTCAGGCCAAATACAAGAGAGTCCTGAGCACCTTGCAGAGCCAGGGGTCTCAGAATGATTACTTTAGGGTTAGCTGCCTCAGATCCTTCGTGGATTGAGTTAGGGCAGGTAAAGGTCTTTAGATACATAAACAGATGCTTCCAGATTTAATTATAGACAGCCTTGTCAAGCTGACCCCTGAGCCGGTACTACACGCCAGTGGGATAGGCAGCCAGCTGCCCTGAGCTCTTTCCCCTCCAGCTTGCCCTGGTGGCGATATTTTCTTAGAGATTTACTTCTTGGGGTAACTTCTGGCTTTTTCTAGAGGACCCAGGAAGTTTGCATTTGGGAGGAGGTGTAGGTGTAGTCTAGAGCTGGCACTCTTGCTAGGGTGGGCAGGGTGGGTGCTGGACAGCAGCTTAGGCTGGCCCTGCAGATGTGTCTGTGATGGTCACCACCCCCTGCAGTTCTGGAGCCCTCTGGAGTCAGGAGCCCAGCCACCATTTCTTGACCAAAAGCAGCACACTCTGACTAGGATCAAGTGGCTCAAAAAAAGTTTTCTGATCTCCAGTGTTCGGCCGACAAGTATATTCTCATCTTGCTCTCCACAGGGCACTGTGGCAGGGGCTCTGTCTGTGAGAGGGCCTGAGGGAGGGAGCTCTGGCGTCACCCCCTGGCATGTCCTGCCTGTCCTGCGCTAGTCCCTGCTGCTCCCTTCAGCCTCTCCCCACATCCCTCCTCCTGGTGTCATTCATCCACACAGTGCACTTTCCACAGGATTCTGGAATGACGTGCATGGGGGCTCCTCTCAGCCAGGTTCTCCCAGTCAAGCTTTGATACTGTTTCGGATTTTCATTAGGATTTCAAAGTTGTTTCCATAACCCTTGATGAAGGGAACTGGGACGTGATCTTATTTACTGTATTCATCATCCTTATTCAGCACTGTAGACCTGACTTTACATGGGAATCTTGCCTTTGTGCCATCAGGCTGGCTGTGTATGTGGGAATACCTGTGACACGTCATGACACCAACAAGTGCTGAACCCTGACCTCTGCTGGCTGCTCCTACTTCCCACTTGGTTCCAGGGACAGTTCCTCAGCTTCTCCTATGTTTGAGGCTGGACACAGTGGGGAGGCCGAGGGAAGCCAGGGAGCACCTGAGCACACAGGTGGGAGCGTTACTCTCGCCCACAGGTGTCAGCGACAGAGGATGGGAATGTCACCAAGGACTCCAATGTGGTGCTGGAGATCCCAGCTGCCACCACCATCGCCTACGGCGTAATCGAGTTATATGTGAAACTGGATGGCCAGTTTGGTGAGTGCCAACTCCTGAGGAAACTGAGGAACCCCCACAGTCCTAAGTCACACACTTGCAGGGGATCCCCTACTGCTTTGGTGGTCGTTGGGAGAGAGGCAAGAGATGTCAGGAGAGTTTGGGGGTGTTCTGTGACCTGGTCCCTGGATAAATGGGCTGTATTGGGGGGTTTTGGTGAGGGATGCCCAGGAGCAGTGCCACCCTGTCCCTGAGATGTTGGTGTGGGATGAGGGTCCACCAGCATGGCAGAGGGACAGGAACACGGGCTCTGCGGTAAGACTGGGTGTCAACCTCAGTGCCAGTTCCCGTGAGGTCTCAGGTAAGTGGTGGAATCCTGCTGAGCCTGAGCTTCCCCTTCTGTGGAAGAGGAAGGGTGTTCCCTCATGGGGTTGTGCTGAGGGTCAAGTTAGATGAGGCCTATGGAGCACCTGGCACAGCAGTCATGTCACCGACTCCACCTTAGCTATTGATCATATCATGCCTTAGCTACTGATACTATTGGTATCCCTCCTTCTCTCCCCAATAAAAGCCAAAAAGGCTGAACTTAACCTTGCTCTGCTGATCACATGTGCATTCAAAGCTTGGAGATCCGGGTTATCATCACTGTTTGAAAAAAATGAAGGCTTTTGTTTAGCTGGTGTCTGCTTGCCCTAGACGCACACAGCACCTCCCGATGTTGCCAGTGAGAAGGGTTTGGGCTGAGCATTTGGGGGACATCAGTGAGTAAATGTAACATCATAAATTGTTGGTAACCTTTTTAGGTATGACAGTGATACTATGGTTGTTTATAAGAGTCATTTTATCTTTTAGAGGGGTGTGTGTGTGTGTGTGTGTGTGTGTGGTGAGGACACTTAAGGTCCACTCAGCAGATTTCAAGTAATCAGTACAGTGTCGTTTACTGTGATCACCGTGCTGTAGGTTAGATCCACAGAACTTATTTGTCTTACAGCTGAAACTTAGTACCCTTTGACCAATACGTCCCTGTCTCCTCCATCCCCAGCCCTGGCCACCACCATTCTACTCTCTGTTTCTGTGTGTTCTACTTGTTCAGGGTGGGACGTGTGATATTCGTCTCTCTGTGCCTGGCTCTCATTTCCTTTAGCATGTCACAAATGGCAGGATTTCCTTCCTTTTTTTTATGGCTGAATAGTATTCCATTGTGTATTTATACCACATTTTCTTAATCCATTCATTCGTCAGTGGACAGTTAAGTTGTTTCCGTATTTCAGCTATTGTGAAAAATGTGTCACTTTTGAAAGGCCTTTTGAAATCTTGGCACATACCCCAGGAAGTCTGTGAGTGCTCCGAGGACACTGAGCTGCCACTCTGGGCAGTGGACCCCATCCGAGCTCTTTCCTGCCCTGCATGCAGCTCTGTCGCTCTATCGCTCTATCGAGGTGGCCTGTCACTCCCACGGGGGCAGGGAGTGTTCCTCCTCTCGGACAGGGGACTGAAAGACACAGCCTTGTCTGACTTGGCTCTCCTGTTTGCATTTCAATTTCAAGCCTTTTATCTTTGCTTGCTTCCACTGTCTTTGAAAATAAACTCCTCTTTGTGCTGTTGAGAAGAATACCCTGGGGACATCTCGGCCACTCCTTTGGCTCATTGCCCAAGCTCTAGCCTAGGAGGCAGCCCACGGCCCTTTCCCTTGGCCCGATCTGCCCTGCCTGATGCCTTTGCTGCTTGGTGGTCAGTCCACCATTGCAGGTGACTCGCTGCCTGATTTTAAACCAGCTCTACTTTTTTTTTCATTTTTCTGCCCATCTGTGTTTTTTGTCACTCTTGCCACAGAATGTTCTGATCCAACTTTACAAACATAAACCTGCAGGGGCCGGAAGGGCCCTTAAGAGGCTGCCTGTTCTCTCTTCCCACCTTCTGGGAGGATGACCTTTGACAGGGATCCTGGTTGTCCTTTGAAACACTCAGAGGAGGTTGGCTCCTTCCCAACCAGAAACATCCTTTTATCGTCTTGAACTTGAGCCTTGCACTTGTGTGCGACTCAGCATTTGCCGGTGTCCTGTCAGCCTGAACTTTCCAGTTGGATGCGCCGTGGTCAGTGCACTCGTGTTTCTTTCCAGGCCCACCGGTCCCAACCCCATCTCCCCACCGTCTCCTCTGCATCTCTGAATCTTCCCGGTCTGTTGCACCCTAGCTAACGTGAGCATGTTAAAATGAAAGTCTGATCATTTCACTCACCTGCTCAAACACCTTCTGTGGCTCCCTTTGTCCCAGGGATGAAGTCTGCACCTCAGGGTGCACTGCGGGCCAGCCCCAGCGTGGGTCTCCAGCCTCTCCTCTCATTATCAGCTATATCAGTCCATTTTGTGTCGCTTATAACAAAATACATGGAACTGGCTAATTATATAGAAAAGCGACATTTATTGCTTACAGTTTCTGAGGCTGGGAAGTCCAAAGTCCATCTGGTGGTGCGACAGTGGCCCAGGTCTCACATTGCAAGATGGTGGAAGCAAAGAGAGGGAAGACAGACTCTCCTCTTTTTTAAAAGCTCTCAGAACCACTCCCCTGACCACCATTTTTAATCCATTCACTACTGCATGGTCCTACAACCCAATCACCTCTTCAAGCCTCCACCTTTCAATTACCATAATAGGATTTCCCACCCTCTTAACAGTCACAGTGGGGCTAAGTTTCTAATACATAAAACTTGGAGGACACAATTCAAGTTTTAGTGAGTTTGGGGGGGACATAATTCAATCAACTGCACCAGCACCACCTGACCCAGTGATCCCGTCCAAGGTCACCCACCACCTGGACCCCCCCAACCCTTGTTCCTGCTTCTGCCTCTCACTGGAGCATCCTCTCTGCCTCTTTGTCTGGCTCACTCTTGCCCAGTCATTTAGGAGGCTGCTTAGACATTGCTTCACCCAAGAAGCCTTTTCTGGTTCTCTTTGCTCATGATGGGGTTTAGGACACGTGACCCTGAAATATTTTATTATATTATTTATTTATTTATTCATTTTTTTTTGCGGCTGGCTGGTACAAGGATCTGAACCCCTGACCTTGGGGTTATAAGACTACATGCTAACCAGCCAATGACCCTGAAATATTTTAAAGTGAAGGAATTTGAGAAAACCCTGACGAGGTCATAAAACCTAGGAAGGGCTTTCTGACCTTCCCTAGAAGCAGGTCTTAAGACGATCACATGAGAGGTGCCCTCCCGACACCCAGGGGAGAGGAGCGTCCTTATCTCCGAAGACACGGGGACACACAGAGGAATCTGAACAGCCAGCCAGTTTATTCCCATCTGATCAGATTCTTTGTCCTATCGTATTTCTCCACTGTTCTTCATTTTTCATCAAACCTAGCCTAAAAATACTCAGATTTAACTGTTTCTTCAGGTCTTCATCTCCTTATAAAGGCTCCTGTGCACATAAAACTAATAATAAATAAATTTGTGGGCTTTTCTCCAGCAATCTGTCTTTTCTCGTAGGAGCTTCGGCCATGAGCCTAGGGTGGGTAGAAGGAAAGTTATTTTTCCTCCCCTATACTTGCCAGCCACTAGCTTCAGTGACCCTTCCGGCTCCTCCAGCACCCCCCCGAGGTTGACCCCTGTCCCCCCCTCTTACCATACTTACGGTCCATTTGTATGTATGGCTGCTGGCACAGTGCCTGGCATAGAGTAGGGTCCGTGCATATTTGTTGGATGCATGGGGATGGATGAATGAAAAGAATGAAGGAATTGGCCGTGCCTTTGGGCTGTGCATGTGTAACGGTGAGAGAGGAGCTGGTGCCAAGGGCTCCTAAAATACCAGCTGGTTCCACATTATGTTGGGGGCCCCACAGAGCTCCTGGCAGGATTTGAGGCCGTGTGAATGGTCATGGCCACTGTCCTTAGGGAGCAAAGTCATTGGGTGGGTGCTGGTTCACACGTATCCACCGCAGCAGGTACGTGTGAAAGGGGGAGTAGCCTGGGGCAGCCCAGGTGCCCAGTGAGCATGAGCCAGCGAGCAAGCCAAGGACCATTTCATGTGTCTTCAGACCACTGTTGCAGCTTTATGAGCATCCTTAGAGCCCACAAACAAAGGAAAACACGTGCGTGTCTCCATGCCTCCCACATTTCATGCGGATACCAGGCTCTGCCACATTGTTATTCGACAGCCTTTGCTGCAGCACACAAATTATGAACTAGAAGCATAAAGAACCTAACCCATGAGCTCCCTTACTGTTTTGCTTAGCGAGGACGTTAAAACTGTTATGTTTTTACCCACAACTTAGTTACCTTAGCTGGGTTATCAAATATGGAAGTGTTTAAGGAAACATTTCTTTTTATTATTTAAAAAAATTTTTTTTATTACAGAAAACTTAACACATGTTCAAAAGTAGACATAATATAATGAACCCCCATGCACCCACCATCCAGCTTAACAGCTAGGACAGTTCATGTTTCGTCCATGACCTCACTGCCTCCCCCTCTCCCACTGGATTATTCTGAAGAAAATCCTAGACATATTATTCCATCTATAAATATTCCAGTATCTTTAAATGATAAAATTCTTTTAAAAAGACTAGTTTTGCCTTCATATAAATAGAGTCATATGGAATGTATTTTTTAGTGTCTGACTTTTTCACTCACATAATGTTTGTGAGATTCATTCATATAATTGCAGAAATCAGTGCTGCATTTTTATGGCTGTGTATTATCCTATGCATTAATAAGGAAAAGTAAATACTCTGTATAAACATAACCGTATACCATAACCACTTGTGCACCTAAATACATTGACAACAATTCTTTAATAATATCAGTGTTTAGATTTTCCCAGTTGTTTTAGACATGGTGGGTTTTGTTTGTTTAGAGTTGGTTTGTTCAATTAAGATGAGAAAATATTTCCAGCGTTTGAAAGATTGCTTCCTGCCCATTCAGAGAGTATACACTAAAGAGGTTTATGTTAAGGACAGCCATTTGTTCTGTATTTGTAGGAAGTGGCTGGGTTT